GGGGGGTGGCAACGGGGGGCGGGGCTTGGCCGCTCTGGGGGCGGCTCTGATTGGGCGAGCGTGGGGCGGGGCGGGGCGAGGGGCGGGGCAGTGGTTAATTACCCCCCCCCCCCCGCTCCCTCAGGGAGCCCCTGCCCAGTTGGGATCCCCCGCTCCCTCAGCCCCTGCCCAGGGACAGCCGCGGGGGTGCCGGACCGGCCTCCGCGGCGCTCGGAGCTGGGGACAACTGCTCAGCTGGGCCAGGGGTACTCAGCACCTGCTGCAGCACCCGAGGACTGAGCCTCTGCCGTTCCAACATCATCGTGGATGCGACGTCCCTGTCAATGTCCCTGTCAGTGTCCCTGTCCATGCTCTTACCCATGTCCATGGCCATGTTCCTGTCCGTGTCCATCCTGCCACGCCAAGATAAGAAGGCCAAACTGTTTTCTAGGGAGCAGTGGCTGATTGTGCAGGCTTAAAAGGAGATCGGCGGAAATGAACTCAACTCGAGAGATTACAAGTCAGAGTTACAATTTACTAAAAAAAAAAAAAATTACAATAAATGCAATGATACAGGGAAAACTGGTTTTAACCCACAAAGACAGGTGTATAACCCCGCGCCCTGGGACAAGAACAGAAGGGTGTTCATCCACCTCTGTGCTGAGCTCCACGTGGTCCCCCCCGGGGGCAAAGGAGAAGGAAAAGAAACCTGTTGGTCTGGATGACGGCCACGGTCCTGTTGAAGTGATGATCACAGTCTCGTCTAGAGTGACAGTCGCAGTCCTGTTGGAATTCTGGTCCTCCTCTGGATTTGGCAAGCAGTACCAGAACTCCCAAAACCCCAAGATATGTGCTCAGGTTTGGGTGGGAATGTCCAGTACCCCCCCCAGGGCAGGGAGTTTCACAGTGGGTGATTTAACTCTGCGAGTCATGGGATATTTTTGGAGACTTTGATGGTGTTGCAGCTGCCTGTTATGCCAGTCCACTATGGCACATTAGCAGAGATGCCCCTTAGGCTGGGGGTGAAGGTGCTGATGCCTCCCCAGAGGGGAGTTATCACAGCTGAGTCATGGGTGTGAAGACAAAGAAACACTCCTCGCAGGGTTCTTTAACACACAGCTTGTAGCCTGAGGTGTCAGATGTGCCCTGGGCAGCTTCAACAAATGATCCATTATTAACAGTCCCTCAGAAATTACACAGAGGGTGTAGAATACACACTTTTGGTTATACCCACGTAGTGATAAAGTGGTTCCAGCTCCTGTAACTAGAACAGTGATCTCCACCCAAACACCACCAGCAAAGTTCATCAGTGCTTCTACCATGGCTCTCTGTGTGCATTATGGCTTCAGCCTCCTGAAGAACATGATTAAATAATTACTTTAAAACTTGGCTGTCACACAGTCTCTTCATGACAGCGGGCTTAGAGCACATGGCCACTTGGGGAGCAGGTTTCTGAGCAATGACTTGCATTTTGCTCTTGACAGAGAATCACAGAATCCCAGAACGGTTTGGGTTGGAACTGACCTTAAAGCCTTTGTCCAACCCCCTGCCATGGGCAGGGACACTTTCCACTAGACCAAGCCCTGTCCAACCTTACCTTGAACACTTCCAGGGATGGGGCAGCCACAGCTTCTCTGGGCAATCTGTGCCTGGGCCTAACCACCCTCACAGGGAAGAATTTCTTCCCAATATCCAATCTAAACCTACTCTCAGTTTAAAACCATTGCAGATCATTGCAGTTTAAAGACATCTGCAGATCCTGAACCAAGGTAAGCCCGTGGGATGCTGCAGAACACAGCAGAATGCAGCATTGGCCTTGCTCTTCCCAGTTTTTGTGATTTTTCAGGCCTGCAGCATGGTATCACTCCTCTCTGCACTTCAGAGCAGAAAATGTCCCAAAATCTCATTCCTGGCCACAGCTGACCACGGACATCAACTGGTCAAGGAGAAATGTTAACTTTCCCAGCTTTCTGTCCCTTTGAGGTTACCCAACCACCCTTTCAGTGGAGAAATTTTTCCCAATATCCAATCTAAACTTCCCCTGGTACAGTTTGAGGCCATTTCCTCTGGTCCTGGATATGTGCTGCTGCACCAACCACCTTGGTATTACAAAAACTTTGTGCTGAGAACTGTACCTTCTCACCCATTTTTCCAGTGTTTGGATGGTGACACCCATATTACCATGTCCCTTCCATGCCCAGCGTGGGCTCCAGCTGCAGCACTGAGCAGCTGTCCTGCTCACATCTGGCTTCTTCCTTCTCTCTTTGTTCTTGGTGGGGTGTGCATCTGTGCAGGCATTCACAGGGAGGCAAAGAGGACAAGCACAAAAGCCAGTGCTGGAAACAACAATCCATTTTTGCACTTCCTTCTCTCAGATGCAACCCTTTGCCTCTGCCCCGCCTGGGAGCAGCAGTGCCTGCGGGCAGGCTGCTCTTGGCTGGTGAAGCCTTCACCTCCGGGAATGCCTGTCTGCATTTCCTTATCCTATTTTATTTTCGGCTCAAGGAATTTAACACTAACTACTACATTCTTTCCCCTGCCTTAGGACCACCAGTGAAGCCAGCAAGGACGAAACCACGTTCCTCAGTTCCACCTCTGTGTCATGGGCCACAGCAGTTGTGTCCCACCAGGATGTCGGGGAAATCACTGCTGGGGCAGGAGCAGGGGGGCAAGGCTGAGAACTAATGACTGATGATGATGAAGATCACAGCACTCAGTGATTGAGTACTCCTCCACTGGGCTGGAAGAAGAGGCTGGGGAGGTGCTGGCCCAGGGACAGCTGGTCCCCCCAAGGACATCTGGATGTACACCCCAGGACAGACAGAAATGCACCCAGGGATGTCCCCTTTAGCCCTTCTGGAGTCCAAGGACAAGGAGGGCTGCTCTGCTCAGCTCCAGCCCTCCACTGGAGGGAGGGAAATCAGCCCCAGGGCCCCCTTGAGGGCTCACGCTGGGAAAGAGCATCGCCAGCAGGTCGAGGGAGGTGATCCTGCCCCTCTACTCAGCCCTGGGGAGGCCACATCTGGAGTGCTGTGTCCAGTTCTGGGCTCCTCAGTACAAGACAGACATGAAGTTCCTGGAGCAGGTCCAGTGGAGAGCTACAAAGTTAATCGAGGGACTGGAGCATCTCTCTTTTGAGGAAAGGCTGAGGGAGCTGGGCCTGTTCAGCCTCGAGAAGAGACAACTGAGAGGGGACCTCATCCATGTCTACAAGTATCTAAAGAGGAGGTGCCAAGAAGATGGAGCCAGGCTCTTCTTGGTGGTGCCAACCAATACGACAAAAGCTGATGGGCAGAAACTGATGCCCTGGAAGTTCCACCTGAACACGAGGAAGAACTTCTTCCCTGTGCAGTGACCGAGCACTGGAACAGATTGCCCAGAGAGTGTGTGGAATCTGCCTCACTAGATATTCCAGAACCATCCGGATGCAAACCTGTGCCACGCGCTCTGGGATAACCCTGCTTGAGCAGGGAGGTTGGACCAGACGATCCTCTGTGGTCCCTTCCAACCTGACCCACTCCGTGATTCTGTGAAATGGTGCAGAGGCAAGGGCGGGGTGGGAGGCACAGTGTGTTCCCACACTCCTCATTCTGCTTAATGGCCAGCCCAATTCCACCATGGATCAGCTTGGTTCCCTGCCACTGTGGGATGAAAGGGGCCCCCTCCCCAAATAGCACTGCCCTTGCTGAGCTGTGCCACTGTGACACAGTTGCTGGTGTTTATGAGACATCACATTTTTCCAAAGCGTCCAGACCTCGTTGTGTGAGGGTTTTTTTGTTTGGTTGGTTTTTTTGGCTTGGTTTGTTTTTCGTAAACTCACTTTAATAAATGAATGGCTTTTTAACAATGACTTTTTCAGCAAAGTCCTGGGAAATTCGAAATACTAGGCCGTCGCTCACACAAAAACACCACAAGCCAAAAGCAGCTTCACAATTTCCACACTCAGTGATTTTTCACCGCAGGGCAACATGATTTGCAAACTGGCCTTGCTGCTTAGAGTCCCCACACCCCAGGATATGGCTCAGGGCTCAATTAACACCGGTGGGAGTGGGGCTGTGCCCAGCATAAGGCTCCTGCACAGGCTGGTGGTGCTCCCTCAGCATTCCCCAGCCGTGGCTGATGTGCCAGCCAGTGTCACCAGCAAGGCTGGTGCAACATCAGACATCCCTGTGGGACAGGGAGTTTCAGGAGCTGAGATGACTGTGGGTTTGCCAGAGCCACAGATTTCAGAAATGACCCACTCTTCCCAGAAGTGTTGCCTGTGATTTCAGGGAATTTTGTCTTGAAATCTTGCCTTGCTGCCATGCCCGTAACCACCAGCTGGAACCTCCTGCTGCTGTTTAGTGGCTCTGTCTGCATGTGCCCTCTGCACCACACACTGGCATCTTCTGCAGGCATCCTGCCCGTGAGCTCTGACCTACAGAGCAGAGTCCAAAGTGACACATCCCTGTTTTGGTATCCCAATGGCCTTCAGGGCAGGTTCTGAACATATCATTGTCTGCTGGCCCTGCCATCCTGGTGCACAGCTCTTGCAATATAGAATTCCCATCCCACACCCACCACGCTGGAGCCGCATCTTGGATCTAAGACGCCAGTTCATTCAAATCTACTTTGAGTCCTTGACCTCACCTGAGGATGTGGTGGATGCACTGCCAGACACATCACCTCCTCCACCATTCTGAGCCACCAACCCCACAGAAGCTGCATCCCTGAAAAACCCTGGCAGCAGATCCAAGCTTGGTAGTTTCTCCCTGCTGTTGCCATATGATCCTCGGTGGAGCAGCTGCCAAGTCAAGGGAACCTGCTTCCAAAGCCATGCTGCAAAGAGAAGGAGGGAGGATGTTTAACCCATTCCTTGCAGACTGGCAAGCTGGCTGTCCCATGGAAGGACAATGGCAGCCTCACTGGGGTGGTGGCTGCCTGCTGGAGGACAACAGGGGAGCACAGCTGCCTAATCAAAGATTTAACTGCTTTGCAGATGGTCTGTAACATGAATTTCTAAGGTCAGCACACGATTCAAGGCAGTTTAGCAATGCTCCTGTCTTCTCATCCCACCTGTGGGACAGGGTGGAGGAAGGGTGGAGCTGGCTCTGGCTCCCCCTTTGCCAGCTGGGTGGCTGTGGGCACGTGGCTGTGTGGTGCCACACATGGCAAAGTGCCCCCCTTGGGTCACAGTGGACAGGCAGGACCAGAAGCCAAAGTGCAGGGACTGCCCTGGGAACAGTCTCAGGAGTGCCCAACAACAGATCATGAACCAGCCTGCTCAGTGACCAACACAAGGCCAATTTTTAAACCACGAGCATCTAAGGAAGTTCTGGTCATGGCAGATGAAATGCAGTGTAGGCTTGGCTGTTACTGCTCAGCTTTGAGGCCTTGGCACAGAGACAGACCAAGCTGACCTTCTGTGGAGCTGTGACAAGGAGAGGTCAAAACAACAAAAAAAGCAAACTTAACGCTGGGAATTAGGAGGAGGGAAAACTGGAAGCAAGATCCAGCAAGTGCCATTCAAGTACAAGGACAACATCTCTGGCTTAAAAATCCCAAGATTTTCGGGAAAAGGGAAAAATGTGTGAAAAAGAACTGCTTGAACTGGTTTGCCACTTCTATTAGGCTGGTCACCATCAGTAGCAGCATCCAGAGCTCGCCCCAGGTGCCTGCAGCATCCCCTGCTTCTCTGATACACCTGCACTGCACACTAAGCAATGATGAGCACCCCAAGTGTTCACTTGGAGCACACCACCAACATCAGGCATTGCGGGCATGGGACCCCTGAAAGCAGCACGAGCTCTGCCTTTACACAGAGGACCAAAAGGCAGGTGGAGGAACATCAACAGATTCATAAGAGTTAAGTGTCTTCCCACAGCAACACCTCCCTGCTCCCAAAGCAAAGGGGTTCGTGCGGCAGGCAGCGGTTGTTTTACCCGGTGAAGTGGAAGGTGTTTAGATTAACCATCATGTTGGTGAGCAGTGATTACACGTATCCAGGGCAGCTGTAAACGCATTCAGATGAGACGTATCCAAAACAGCTGTAAACACAGCCACGTCCTCTCTGCCTGGCGCACCAACGCTGCTTCCAGCCCGGAGCCCGGAGCCGCCGGCACGGCTCCGGCCTGCGGCACCATGGTGAATTCATAAACCCATCAGACAGTGTCTGGGCTTGCAGCCCTGGCATGCTGTGGGAGGCACTGATCCCCCTGTGGCCCTATCCCACTGCAGGGCTCTGAGCAGCCCCCTCCTCCCTGCCCAGCCACAGAGCCTGCAGAGATCAGGGGGCCAGGAGCAGAAGCATCCCCCAAGGAAGTCACTCTTCTTGCCTCTCCCCTCGCGTGTGTTGGCTTCTGTCCCTCAGTCCCTCAAACAGTGCCTGCTAAAGCCAGACAAACCACACTTTAAATACAGATGAAGTGTTCAGCTGAGAACAGTCTGTCCTCCTGGTCCCTTCTGGTGTCTGTCTGTCCATCCTCCCAGGCTGGCTGAGCCTGGAACAAAAGGTTGCCTGGGCCAGGGTGATTATCTCTTCCTCCATCTCCTTCCCTTGGGAGGATATCCTGGCATCATGTGCCTTCACCTGCTCGGGGCCTGACATTTGCTCCCTTTCCAGCACCTTCCTGTTTGGGATATTTCTTTGTTTTAGCTTCCTTTTCTATTTATGTCACTGAAATCAAGTCCAGGGAGCATGAAGTGAACAATGTGTCGCACGCCACTGTCAACAATCCTCCACAGCAAACGGCATCCTACACACTCGTTGAGCAGACCTGCTATGGCACCAGAGACCCTGCCACCCCACTGTGGTCCCCACCAGCCCTGTGACATCTCACTCCCTGTCCCCCAGGTCACTCAAAGAGAACCTGCACTAGATTAAACCACAGAAATCCTCAATTTATGAACACTAAGCAAGGGGTCCAGATCCCACTCCTCACTGCCCTGGGGTAGCGCCCTCAGGGACAACTGTGACTCCCCAGATGTTTGGGATGAGGAGCCACAATGAGCAGACACAGCCAGACCTGTGTGCTAATGGGAGCAGTTCATGTGCAAATGACACTGAGTTCACACAGGGTCACCAACACAGCCCGTCTGGCACGTTAAAGCAGAGAGAAGCCCTCAGCTGATATTTTATGCACCCTACTTGGAATCAAGCAACCTGGAAAATCTCAGAGCATTCGGATGCAAAGGTCTAAGTCTTAACAATGCTGCTGGCAAGGCACTGTGTTTTGCTTGCACTATTTAACAGCTTCCTCATAAGGAAACAATTCAATTGGTTAAGGGAAAAAGCCACCACAAAAATCCTCATCCCACTGTTCAGCTGACAGAGCCCTGTCAGCAACATCACTCCTGACTCTGGTCCCAGTTTGGGTTTCTGGAGCACCCAATGAGGCATCAAGACTGGGTAGAGAGAAACCACAGAGCCACACATCGCTGCCTTTCCCAGGGAAAATGTCTGAACAGGATTAAATTGCTCATCAAACTAAAAACACAAAGCCAGGTTTAATGCCTCACACTGAAGCAACCATGGTTCAGAGCAGAATCAGCAGATCCCAGATAGTTATCACACAGGGGAGAGTCAGCAGGCAGGGCACGATCTTCCCTTGCAAGGAAATGGTGAGTATGGAGATAAGGGTGATCCAATTAACCAAGCTTTATGGGGATTTCAAAATGGTATGTGGCAATGCTCTTAAGCACTTAAAGAATACCCAAAAGCTCTTAAAGAAACTGAGCTGCAATGGGATAAGAGGTAGAGCCCTCCTGGGATTAGTAACTGGTGAAAGGTCAGGAAGTGAAGAGCAGGAGCAGGCCTGCATCTCCCGAGGGTCTGATGCATCCTGCACCTCCCTGAGTGCTCTGAAAAGGCCAGGACACAGGAATGTGACAGCACATCCATGCAGGGCGGCCACCAAGACCAGAGAAGCCCACAAAGGCAAAAAGGCCATGGTGAAACCCACGATTCCGGGCAGGGACAAATTGTGCTCAGAGGCAAAGGCTGGGTCAGGTGATTCACCTCACCCCTCTCTTGTGCAACACCTGGATGAAAGGAGCTGCTGGTGCCAACCTCATCTGCTTCCAAAACCATCACGCAGCTTGAATTTGCATGCAGGTTTCCTGCACTCAGGTTCCCTGAGACTGCTCCTGCAGGAACCCACCCTGGGTTGGTTTCAGAGGTACCTGTGCTGTAAATAAAGGGCAAAAGAAACAGGTACGAGTATGCAAGTGGCTTCATAAAGGGTGGGAAACATAAAGATCAGCCAGGGAAGAGGGCATTCGGGGGGGGGGGGGAAATAACCCCACACAGGGAAAGGGTTCACTGCACATACTGGAACATGCAGGAGTGGCAGAAGGTCAGAAGTGCCAGGTATCTGCTCTGCCAGCCACATTTGGGGCCAGAAGGAGCAGGAGTCACTGGAGTTTGAACTCCCTGGAGCTCCCTGGGTGCTGGACCAGCCACGCTGCCCGTGCTGGGACTGTTGAGGACCATCATCGCGGTGCCTGTTGGCACCTGCAGCCACCTCCCTGGCAAGCTGCCCTGGGCAGAGCATGCAGGGGCAGGGATGGAGGAGGGAAGTTCAGCACTACTATGCAAAGGAGAAAATACGGCTTCTTTGTGGCCTGGGGTCTCCACCTCCACACGTCACCGCGCTCCCCGAGAAGCTGCCCCGTACACGGTACAGCCAGACAGGCACTCCAGGTCACAGGGAGGTGACCAGGACCTGGGCTGCTGCAAGGACAGCCGTGGTCAGGCTGAGTCATGACCAGCTGGGTCCCAGGCAGACGTTCCTGTGGGCTGGGGTGTGACTGGTGATGTGGGAAGTTAGGGAAGGGTGAGGAGTGCAAGTCCTTTTTCGTGAGCTGGGAGACACCTCCTCCCCCCCAGAGAGCAAACCTACAGACGCACCCCCAAGTGACTCACAGAGGTTCAAAGCTCACACTGACCCATGGGTGTGGTGAAGACATGCATGGGAAGGGAATCAGCGCCAGTGTGCCCTGGCCAGGGAGCTGAGGAGAGCAACCACACTGCAGCAGAGACCCAGTGCTCCCAACAGTCCCACTGCTCCTCACCAGCTGCCACTGTCACATTAAGTACAGGGTAAGAAGTGTAGCTGAGGGCTGGAGTTGCACCAGACCATGGCATGACCCAGGGCCTGCTGCCAGCTGATGGAGAGGAGAACCTGGGAGTCATCTCAAGGAAGCCATGGTAGCCTCCCAGCTCCACTGCACCCAGCCAGCAGCTAGCAGGAGCTATCCAGGCTCTCCTGCCTGACCCCAGCCTCCACAAGCTTTCCCTGGCAGCCTTGGAGGCAGCCAGCTCCACTCTACCAGTACCCACAGCACCAGCATGTGCCTCAGTGCCAGAGTTGACAGGGGTTATGCTGGAAAAAGCCATCACACATGCTTAGCTCTAGGCAAAAAAGAAAGCCATGGGCACAATGCAGCTCATGGCTTCACCCAGAGTGTGAGCAGAAGTGCTCTCTACCTGGCATAAGTCACAGTCTCCACAGGCCAAGAGGATGGGGGTGCTCGCTTGTACAAGGTCTGTAAGGAAAACTTTCTGGGGCAGACAAGCCAGCCAGCGGAAGGAAGGAGGAGGGAGGCTCTGTGCTCGCACTCGGGACTTCCTTGGGTTAGATGAAGGGCTGGGACCGGGTCTGTGTGACTCACTGTGCTTTTCTGAGCTGTGCTGCTGCCCTGATGCAACCCCTGCTCCAGCAGGAACCAACCGCGAGGGGCCATCGCTGGTACCGGGGAGAAACGTTGGAGGAGTAAGAGCTGCTATTAAAAATTATCCCTTTGCAACCTGCACACCAAAGACACCACCCACTGGCTGCTGGAAAGGGAGAATCCCCTTCCACCCACCACTTTGTGTGCAGCTGAAAATATCTGCTGGTACCACCAGATGGACAGGATACCCAGGCTCCTTCTTTCAGACACAGTTCTCTGAACAGCCTTCAAAGGCGAAATCACCAACAAGGAAGCAAAGCAGCTCAGAAAAGTAGTCCCAAATTTCTCCGGTCCCGAGTTGTTGCGCATTTGCTGCTTACTCACTTCTTGCCAAGCCTAGAGCTGCCGGGTTGGGCCCCCGCCCTCCCCTCTGGCAGAACTACTCCTTACAGCTTGGAAGCTATTTTTTTCCCACTCTGCTATCTTAAAAAAGAAAGAAAGAAAAAAAAAAGGCGTGAAAGCTTTTATCATCCTGAAAACATGCCAACTGCGAAGGCGACTCTGTGTCTCAGACGCCTGTTTCCTGGCAGATTTTAAGTCCTTTGCTCAACTGCTCGGATGGCGGGGGCAGGAGATGCCTGCAGCAGCAGGCTGTGAACTGGAGTTCTAAACACTCACATGTTTAACTGCTGCTAAATTGCCAGGGGACCAACATTTTCAAACAGCAGGCTAAGAGCTGCACACACAGCCAAGTGGCCCATTCGAGGAGAACTGATGCTGTGCAGGCAGATGAAGGGCCACTAGCACGGCTACAGGAGGTACCAAGGGGGGTCACATGGCTCAACACCTCCACCTGGGTACAGCTGTCAGGCAGTACAGAGGGGGGTCACCCTGCTCAACACCTCTGCCTGGTCAGTCACCCCTTCACTTCCCAGAGAGTGAGGCTACAGCTCTGTCAGCTCCCAGTGGTTTGAAGGATGGGACCAAGCGAGCAGGCTGAGCAGGGGAAAAGTGCTGGATGTCTGCACTACTGGTGCCCAAATTTCCAGTGACCAGCTCTGGCTGTAACCACCTAAAGGTGCTGGGAAGTCCATGTGCAGCCTGAGAGGTGGGGACAGCCCCTACCTTGCTGCTGTCCTGGAAAGAGCTCCACACACAGAGCCCTTCACCCCAGCAATGCTTTTGGGGGCTGTAAAGTGCTTGGAGCTGGTTTTGTACACAGAAATCTCCTTTCCAGCCCCAAACAGCAGAGGCTCTTAGAAAGGGTGGGTAGTCATGAGTGGATTTTTGGACTGTGTGGATCTGATGGCACATCAGACCCACAGGAGTATAAGGCTTTAGTTTACACCAGAGCACAATGTACCCTGATGCCATCAAGATATGTAGGGGCAGAATCCATCTCTATTTCTGGGCTGACAGGGGGATCCCAGCAGCTGACTGTTCTGGCAGCTAAAGTGAGCCTGACCAGGAACAAATGGCAGAAAGACCCCTTGCAACAGGCCCAGAGGCCCCGTGTATCCTTGGCATATACTCCCAGGAGAGGGTATTTCAAGGACACAAAAGGCTTTTGGGATAGCTGCTGTGGAGACAGAGGAAATCAGACAGCTGAATACCTCACCTGGTCTCTCAGAGGATCCTTCTGTTGTGGGACTGCTGAGGTTGTAGAACAGGTACTGATGGACAGACCAGATGGTACGGACTGGAGTCCAGGGCAGCCAAGTGGTGCCACCATCGATATTGTTAATGTGTTTTTCTTTGTTCCTCTGGCAGCAGAATGCAGGCCATGGTTTGCTTTCACCTGGAGAGGTGTGTAGTACACCTGGAACTGACTTCCCCAAGGGTGGAAACGCAGCCCCACTATTTACCTCCAGACTGCACTGCAGAAGGATGAGGCTCCAGACAGCACATCCATGACATCACCCTATGGGGGAACACGGCAGAGGAAGTTTCTGAGACCTTCACCTTTTGTCCTCCAATTCTTAACTCCACTCTGCCAGAGTGGGAAGGGGGAGGGAAAGGGAGAGCCAGAGAGCAGTGTCTGCTTTGGGGGAGTCTCTGTGGGGGCACTGAATTGGGGGGTACCATTCCTAAACCACAACAAGGTAGAAGGTTATCTCCTGGCACATGACCCACAGCAAAATCTACCCTAGCACATACCTATAACCAGCCCTGCTGCCAGCTGAGGATTTTCCTTAACATTTCAATCCAGGCCACCCAAGCATTGCTCCAACTCTTCAGTTATGTGGAACCACCTGCAAAAAGAAAACTAAGTAGCCTGGGAAGGCAGGGATTGATGGCCTTTCAGATTCACTTTTTTTCCCTAGGGACAAGTTCCTGGGAAGAACACACCATGCCAGCTGCCTCCTGTCCCTCCTGCCCTGCACACACAGTTCTCCATCCACTCGAGAGCCCAGCTCACTAACAAGAGGAGCAGCCTTCATCCTCCTCTGTACTTAGAATCATGGAATGAGAGAATTATACAATGGTTTGGGTTGGGAAGAACCTTAAACACCATCTTGTTCCAACACCCTACCATGGGCAGGGACACCTTCCACTAGCCCAGGTTGCTCCAAGCCCCGTCCAGCCTGGCCTTGGACACTTCCAGGGATGGAGCAGCCACAGCTTCTCTGGGCAACCTGTACCAGGGCCTCCCCACCCTCACAGGGAAGAATTTCTTCCCACTATCCCATCTAACCCTGCCCTCTGGCAGTGGGAAGCCATTCCCACTTGTCCTGTCATTCCAGACCCTTTTCCAAAGTCTCTCTCCAGCTCTCTTGGAGACCCTTTAGGTAATGGCAGAGGGGAGGGCTCTAAGGTCTCCCCAGAGCTTTCTCTTCTCGAGGCTGAACAATCTCAATTCTTGGATGTCTTCACCTTCTTCATCTCCCACCTTCTCCCCATTTAAGCACAAGGATGGCTGCAGCTGGGGCCAGCCAGCCCGAAAGCAGCAGGCTGGAGGATGGGACACAGTCAGCATCTCTCCGTGGCCTCTGCCAGCAGGAAGCTCCTGCCAGGCCCTGGGTGATGTCACGGTGACATTTCTCTAACAGGCAGCATCAGCGACAGTGTCTGCACTGCCAGAGCCAAGTGGCATCAGGCAAACTGCCTTTGTTCAACAGTGCCAGCCTAGAGGGAGAAAAACAGCAGCATTACCAGTGAGGCAGGAGATAGGCATGATCAAGGTGCCAGCCACTCCCACTGCAGGTGGTTTTAGGCATTAACTTGGGTCAGAGTCAGATGCAGCAGGTTGCTTTCCCAAAGTTAAGAAGCATCAGTAATTTTTTTTTATGTTCAAGTGACAGCACTGATATTTTTGTGTGCCAAATTGGGATCATCTCCAATAGGGGATGGCCCTGCCTTCAGCTGTGCCCCATGAAAATTCCCTAGGGTTTTGTGAACATTGGTGTTTGGTGCAAGGAAAGACCTTCTCCCGCTGCAGAGGTTCCCAGCCCCAGACACGCAAGTGACCAGCTTAAGTTCACAGCCTGCAGGCAGGACACGTTTTGGGACACTTCTTATAGGGCAGGCCAAACAGGGAACACAAAGGCCAAAAGGGGTGAGCGTCACCCATGGGAAGCACGTGCTTTAAAGGCCAAGAGAAGGCAAGTCCATGAGTTAGACATGATCTGCAGAGATTTCTCATTGCTTGTGTTGCGTGAGGCAGTAGCAGTCTCTCCATTCACTGTGCACATGGAAAAAACAATTGTTTTAAGTCGTTTTTCCAGCGATGGAAATAAGCTCATATTTCAATTCCTATTCACCAAAACAGGAGCCAAACTCAGTGCTGTATGAAAGTGTGTTTATTTCAAAGCTAAATTTCTCACATAAAACAATGTCTGTGAACAGCAGCATTCATCCTGACAGATCTCCAACAGCCTCCTGGGCTTGGAGTCCTGACCCATTCCAACACAGCACTCGGGAATCTCTTTTCAGAGTTGTCAGGAAGGGGAGGGAAACGACAGAAAACAGATGCTTGGCCATTGGCACAATTTCAGAAATTGTGCCTGCTCACAAGAAGAGCAAATGTATCAAGACACTTTGCAGGGAGATTAATGCCTGCACAAAGATCCCACAGAACGCCCTGCTCTGTGCAGACTGCCTGCAAAGGGGCAGCTGCCCCTGTCAGGAGAGCTGTGTTATTCTTGCAGACAGAAACCAGGGCTGTTGGATTTAATCATCTGCTGAACTGCTTCCAAGGACCGAAGTGGTTGAGAGGTCGTGTCAGAGATGTGCTCCTTCGCAGCCCAGGGCCTTTGCACCCTGGTGCGCTGCTCTGGTCCCAGCTGACACTCTAGAGGGGATTCCCTTCTTCCCCCAGCCTCAGCCTCTTGGAGAGGTGGTTGCTGATGGCCATGAGGGGGTTGGCTCTGTACTTGGGATCGGTGATAACCTCATGAAACCGAGCCACTTCCTCCTCTCTGAGGAAAGAAAAACAACACACAAATTCTCTAAGTGCCTCATGCAAAAGAAACTGAGCAGATAAGGACCAAACTCACAAAGCAGTGGATTTCTGTCGAGACAGAGTGATCCTGGGTGTAAATCTCACAGAGAGACAGTGCAAGAAATAAACCTAATTTAGCCAAGGGCAAAGCTCAAATTGCTGCCAGCTTCATGGGAGCCAGAGACTTGATCTCATGCCACAGAGACAGAAACAATCTTGTTAGTGCCCAGCATCACTTGGAAATGGTTATTTCAGAACTTTCCCCTAGTAGATCAAGGAAATGTGGATATCTGGTAAATCACCAGGAATGAAAATTACTTCAGATTGCACCAGCACAAAATCAAATTCTCTTCTGAGAGCTCATCTACTGACTTTTATTGCTGAACACTGAGGCTTGGTAATCCTACGTGCAACACTAGTTAGATGCCATGGGAAGAGCAGGAGAGAATTACCTCTGCATACCTGGTCACAGCTGGTTGCTGTGGAAATGAGTCTTGTCTTAAAAAGCAAGCATGCAGGGAAGAACAAGAACAGAGCAGGAGTGTAAAAGAAAACCTGTGAATTTTCACACAGCCACGTCCATTGCAGCATCCCCATCTCCCTCAGGCTGCCAGGCTCTCCACAGGCTTGCCAGACACACAGTTGTTGGCATTCAGCTACTCCCCTCCCAAGTATGGGCCTTCCCTTCAATGCCAGCCCTGTCCCGGGCAGAGGAAGAGAGGAACCAAACCTGAAGCTTGGGTTGTGGCAGATGGGGCAATATGGTGAGTCTTAGGGAACCTCCTACCCTAACTAATATCCTGGGAAATGAACCTCAAGACCTTCCTCCAAACTATTTCCCTCCCAAGAAGCACAGACTTCCCAGACCACCAAAAAGTAAAGAAAGAACTGAGCAAGGAAGGCATCCCAGCACCAACAGTGGCCAATTTCTGACAGAGAGGGGTATTCATGGAGTGTGCTGGAGATCTGTAGCCTGACTGTTCAGCCTCAGTTTGAAGTTGAATGGCTCAGAACTGACAGAAATCCTGGAAACATGAAAGCAAACACTGCCAGATCACAGTGCCTAGCCCCAGGAGAGCTGTGCTGAGGGAAAATGAAGTTCTTGATGCCTAGTGGCAGTATAAACTATCCAACAGACTACACAGAGGAATAAGGAGTTGCCAGACTAAGCCCAGGAATTATTCAAAAGCATTTAAACTCTCCCTCTTTGTTGATATTCAAAAGCCATGTGGACATGGTCCTGAGCAACCAGTTCTAGGTGACCCTGCTGGTTGGACCAGGTGACCCCCAGGGGTCCCTTCCAGTCTCAGCCATTCTGTAAGGCTCAGCAAGGACTGGACACTGATAACTGGGTACTTACAGGAGCCGATGTTTCTGAGCTTGTTTCATCAGACAGAAGTCTGATGGTTCTGCCTTTGCTCTATGGCTGTGGAGAGAAGAAACAAAACAAGTGAGCAAGTGTTAGAGAAGAGCAGTGACTTAGAAATGGCTGCGGAGATGGAAGGAGGCCAGGAATTCTGCATCTGCCTTGCCAGAGAGGACAGGTAACTGTCCTGCATGGAAATTGTCCTGAAAGGCAATTATTTCACAGCCAGGCATGTGAATGCAAACTCCTTCTGGTACAGACTGACAGAGCAGGAGGCATTGCAGGAAAACCGGATCGCTTAGTTCCAGAACTGGTCATTAGCTGTCCATGCCCAGATCACTTTCTGCTTATCACTGACCTCCAGGTCAAACCGATCCCGTTGCTTAGAGAAAAGATTCCATTGAACTTCCCCTCACCGCCACATGTGTCACTCTGCATGGCTCATGTTCCCTACTGACGCCGCAGAGCCCCAGCCTCGGCAGCCATCCCTTACAGACAGTGCCATGGACACTCAGCAAGAAGCATCCATGGCATACTGCCAGCCCTGGTCTGGATCCCGCAGCAGGAACCACTGGGATACAATGGGCTGGAACGCAGGATGGTGCACTGTGGGCAGCAGGTATGGAGCTGCACTCTCTGTAACCCACTCCTGACTCCTGGGCAAAGTCCAAGGAGACCAGAGGTGTAATCCCATCCCACAGGGTGCCCGATGTCAAGCAGCAGCAGAGATTTAACACAAAGGCAGCGCTGAGCCCCAGCAAGGGACACACAGGAAGGGCAGCGATTGCTTTCGGGACTTGAAGTGCACAGGGGGAGTTGTTGGTAGAACTGGACATTAAGGAAAGGAGAAGAAATTCCCATTCTTCAGCACTACACAGATACAGAAGTTAACAGGAGAAACAAGCTGGGAAGAGGGTCTGCCTCCAAGGGGTAGCTCCTCTCCTATTTGCCCTGAGGCTGAGCCCCAGCAACAGCCCAAGGGGGAGGAAGAGGGTCTGCCTCCTACCCCTCTGTTGGGGTAGATTCCTCAAGGAGGAATCTTCCCATACTGGTGGGTGCTGGGGGCTAGAACCTTCCCCACCAGATCTGCCCCAAAGGTTAGGAAACACAACAGTTCCTTGCCTTCTCTTCAAGACAGCAGGATCTGGTCTCTTGCTGGTCGTGTTACAGTGACCTCCTCTTCCTATTTCCCTCTCTGACATGCTACCCTCCATCCTTCTATTTCGCCCTTTTTCCCCCATTCTTTCTTCCCTCCTACTCCCTTGCCTCATATTCCTTCACCTTACTCACTTCCATCACCCCTCTCTACTCAATCAGCTCCCGCTCATTTTCCTCTCCTCTCCCTCCCCCCATTCTTAACAGCTCAGCACAGGAACAATTTCTTGTCCCAGTTTGCCTGGAATGCTCACAGAAGCTCAGGGAAATCCCTTCTCAAGTTGTATGGCAACCCACGGTCACCAGAGCAGGGCTTGCCAAACCCGTGTGTGCCACCAAGTCACCATGGCAGCCCCTTCAGAAATGAGCAGCTCTGCAGAGGGTGACAAAGCCTAAAGGAAAGCTATTCTAGAGCACATCCCAGGCTGGATTTCCCTCCAAAACCACCACACATTGCCTGTTCTCTTGGACCACGTTAGCAGCCCAGATTCATTACACTTCATTGCCTTCATTCATTATAAAACAGAATAAAAACCTCCCTGTAATGCGCCTTTACCCTGCAGGAGATCAAATTCTTGGAGAATCTAATCTTTTATTAATAATGATGACAAATCACCAGAGTATTACCCTTCCTTTCTGCAACGATTCAAATCCTGTAAAAGCCTCCTCTGATTATTTGAAACACTTCTGCACACACGTCCAGGAAGTCAGAAGCCAGCGTGGGGAAGAAGAGTCCAGTAGCTCCTCCACGCCACTACTGAGGGGGGGCTGCTTTTGGGTTGGCATGTCACAGGCAAATCTGGCTGACATCACCCAGTGTCAAACTCCCGCCTCCACTGTGCCGACTCAGGCTTCCAAAAGGACAGACTAGGGATTCCACACCCCCACAGGAGGTCTGGGGGAGGGAGGGAGCTGACAGCGCGTCTCCAAGGCTGGAGATTCCTGCAAGATCACCAAACACTTCCAGGTGTGCCACACACCCTCTGCTATGAAGGCACTACAGAGGAGAAGGTCATTGCAGTTGCTGGGGGGAGTATTTTGGCCAGTGTTTTGCCTTAAAGCATCCTGCAGCAGATGGCCAGAGAGGGATGAGACTGGAGGAACTCTGACTGGAGAAGAGAAGGCTCTGGGGAGACCTTAGATCCCCCTCCAGTTCCTAAAATGGCTCCGAGAGAGCTGGAGAAGGATCCTGGACAAGGGTCTGGAGTGACAGGACAAGGGGGAATGGCTTCCCACTGACAGAGAGTAGTTTTAGATTGGATATTGTTGGGGTGTCCTGCACAGGGCAAGAGTTGGACTTCATGATTCTGATGGGTTCCTTCCAACTCGGCATATTCTGTGATTCTGATAACAAACTCTTCCCTGTGAGGGTGGGGAGGCCCTGGCACAGGCTGCCCAGAGATGCTGTGGCTGCCCCATCCCTGGAAGTGTCCCAGGCCAGGTTGGACAGGGCATAGAGCAACCTGCTCTAGTGGAAGGTGTCTCTGACAATGGCAGGGGTTTGGAACGAGATGGGCTTTAAGGTCCCTTCCAACCCAAACCAGTTTGTGATTCTAAGACCAACGCAAGTGTACAGCCACATCCTCTCCACTCTTTGCTGCTCAGAGACCTAGTGCCAGCTGCACTTTATAGACATGCAGCAAGCCCTCCACAGAGCTGTTCTCACTGGATTTGTCAGGTCCCACCTGAACCCACAGGCTTCCTTCAGCCCTGACAACCTGCAGCAAGGAGCTGTGCAAAGCAGCAAGCCTCCTGCTTGTACTGAACCTGTTACTCACTACATATATTTGATGCCCTTTAATTCTCATACTAGAAAAGATCCCATCATGACAGAAAGGGGGCAAAGCCACCCACTCAGGCTCAGGTAAGCCCTGGCCCCAAACTCCAGCCAACCAACTGTCTGTTCTCTGCAAGACCTGAAGTTTTGCTTGTACTTTTGCTGTTCATTCCCACTGAAAGAGAGGGCAGGTTGACTAAGTGGTTGCATATAGGGGGAAAAAAAAACAAACAAGAAAAAAATGCTCCTCAAAGAATTAGAAGCCTGTAGCTACGAGCTGAGCCGAAGGACATTTCATCACGCAGAAAGAAGGGAAATACACAGCCCATCCCCAAAATGACACGTACCTCTTGACTGGCTTCCTGCCCCTGCCACCTGTGGTCAGGTCAGAGAGCTCAGGTAGGGCTTCCATCAAGGGCTGCATGTCTCCCACCACAGGTGTTGCTTTTCGCTTTGCTTCGGCTTTTTGCTTCTGCTTCATTATCTTCACACTTTCTATTTCTGAATCAGAAATAAGGCATTACTGGAGGAAGGAGAAGTGTCTGCAGGAGACAACCCTTGAGCTAAGAAATTAATAGACTGTTTAACCACCTAGAGGAACAACAGGCCAGAAGTGACCTAAACCAGGGAAAGACTGAAAATAATGCAGCTGGGTCATTCCCTCCCTTACAGGTTGTGTTTGCTTATAACTACATCCATCCCTTCTGACAGTGCAATGGGAAGTGAAATTCCCAGACTGACTTTGTCTGAACTGCTTCCATCCCTTACACTGTTCATCGCTCCCAGCAACACAGCACAGGACTCCTGGTGTGGCAAAAAAACCCACACTGACCTTGCATGGAACTGGGAGAGAGAAACAAGAGGGGAAGGGACAAACCAAATACAGTCAGCTCCACAGCTGGCCTTAAACAGGCACAGCCCCACCTCTGCTTTGCTGCTGGGACCAAACAGTGGTCTCCTAGCACAGGCAGAAAAGATGGACTTAATTTCAGTTGTTTACTTAGTTTGGAGCGAGCCAAGGTCTCACCTTCATGACTCATGGTGGAGTGCAAGCTGCCAGATGCTGGATAAACTGGACCCTTGGAAAAGCACTGCATCAAGTGGCAGAGACAGATGGCTCTTCCTCAGAACCACGTTTCCCAGTCTCCTTGCAGCAGCTCTGACACAATTGTGGGCACAGAAGGGTCCACAAATGTTACATAAGTCTCCCTTTCAGCCATGGGAGGTGGGCTTTGAAAGCCCACAGGCCTCTGCCTCAGTCCTTGAGGCTCCCTGGTGTAGTCATAAGTCCCACAGCTCCTCAAGCTTCACAGAGCCAGCAGTTGCCAGAGCAAGCTCCAGCAGAACATGCCCTTCAGGACAGCCCACAAAAGCCTGGGACTCATACAAGCTTCCAGCTGAACTCCAAGATACCCCAACCTGACCCAGAAGTCCCTTGGACAACTGCAAGGATGAGGCTCAGTGCTGAGCTAAAAACTCCATGTGTGGACATGACAGAGTGCCAGAAGCCGTGGGGCCAAGCTGGTGGCACAGGCAGGACAACAGCTTCCAAGGCAGCATGGCCACAGGAGCCCAAGTATTTTTGGTGGGAGCACAAAAGCAGCCAGTCCCACTTACAGACCACAATCCCAGGTCTAATTCTGCTCCCACAATCTCAAGGAAGCAGAACTCAAATTCACTGGCTGGCTGCTGGCTCCTTTAATACCTTTGCCTTGTCTGCTCTCCAACTCGGCCGAGTTGAAGAGCAACAGTTTTTCATGAACTGCAGTTTTGCTGTACATGGATGTTTGTGACAAATCTGGATTGGAAACACTTCTCCTCACAGCAATCCCTGCCAAGAACACAGCTTTCTGTTCTGCATCACTTCTTTTTTTGGTCTGGCTTTATGAGGCTGACTACTTCAGTGCTTTCATAAACAGTATGTGCTTAAAATTTTCAGACACCTGATTCTGCACAAACATCCCAAATTCTTTTCCTGTGAAGTCTTGTTCGTCTGAGGAGCCATGCAATATATATATTTTTAAATGTGCATACTTCTAATGTCTGAAGCATTACATAAGTTTTTTCCCCTCTCTGGTCTCTCCTAAGATTACTTATTGGAATGGAAGAAAGCTCCAAGTTTTGCATTTGCTCTACTGGGCTGAACTTTGGTTCCCAGGGTCTTGGCATCCAGTGTCACAAGAGCAGCCCTGGGACAACAAGAAACAACAAGCTCAGATTTAGGAAAACAGAGATGTGGTGATAACAATCTCAGCAGTCCAAATTGGGTTCTCTTTTGCGGGGCAAAGAGTTCTTTCTCCACAAAAAAACCTTTTTTTTAGGTACTTCCGTGCCTGTAAAGCACTTCTAACACGTAGTATCTTCTAAGGGAGATTAATCTGGCCCAGAGTTTACTGTGTTGGTGTTCTGTTCAAAGCAAAGCCTCTGTATTTCATTTGTATTCCCTCAACTTAGTGATTTCAGAGACAAGAGAGAGGGAAAGAGGCCACAGCAGAGCCAAAATAACACATATGATCTTGGGAAAGATGGATGCTACAAAGGCATCAGGAGGGCAGGATTAAGAGAGTGTAGGGATCCTGCTTCTGGGCTTTTCCAAAGCAGCTGACCTTCACTAGCGCAGCCCTCTATACTTTGTGTCAAAGGGTTGCAGATGTCAAAGGCACTGGGAAGCTGTTGGGGGAAGGTTTCCTTCACACACACAGTGTTAAATTCTCAGTTTTTTATCCAAGAGGAGCCAGACACATGTTTTCTGCAAATGGTGAAATCACAGGTTAATGGACTTGAGCTCAGAGCCCAGGCGCACAGAGCACATGGTGTAGGAGAAAGCCACATCCCTTTGCCCCAAACACAGTCTGTCTTCAACTCTGTTGGACAAGAAGGTGATAGGGGAAAAGCTTGTCCCAAGAACACCTCCAGGTGACACAAGGAACCCCTCTGCTACACTGGGTAGGACAGCACAGTCTCTTACTGCGCTGAGACACTCGAAGCAAAAATACAGACACTTCCCACAGGAAACAGAAGCATTTCTGCCATGGACTGGTTTTGTTTAGCTCATATTTCACAGCCTCGAGAAAGGCCAGACTGTCTGGTAAGTGGGTTCACTGACCTGTAGCATGTGGGAAAGAGCAGTAACACAACCAGCAGTGCCCAGAGTTCTCCCTTACTGCAGGCTCTCACCACAGAGGTTTGGGATGAGATGGTGGCAGCACAGGTCTCAGCTCCAGGCTGTCCTACCACCCCCATGGCTCCACTACACAGCCAGTCCTATCTGTACCAGGGCTTTAAAAGTCAGAAAAATACACTGAAATTATGTGGGCACAGTGTCCTATCTGGATAAAGAAGGAGTTTATGTAGTCACATATATTACACGTGGAGAAAGATCAAAACCAGATCTGGGGCAATGATTCAGTCTCGGTGCTTAACACTGAGCAACAATACCTGGGACTTCGACCCCACCTGCTGGGGAGCAGGTGTGAAGGTTTCTGAGAAGCATTCAGCCCTTCCCAGCACTTTACCCACACCCAATGAACAGGGAGATGCACCAGAGCCGTGCTCCGTGATGTGTGACGTGCTTCACAGGAGTACTCACTCTGCAGCCATCTTTCTTTCCTCAGCTTCATCTTTTCTTTTTTGGAAAGAACTGTTTTTTCTTCTAAACCTAGAAGAGAAGAGACATAAGATGGAGCATGGCTCCTGTACAACAGATTTCATTCAACACTCGATGCTTTTGAATTTGCTGGCAGGTCGGGCAGGCTGCAGGCATTGCAGGGGCTACACTGCACCTCCAACTTTTAGCCAAACAAATTAAATCTGACTTGCTGTCAGTTAAAAAACAAGAAGCAAGCAAGTAGATCATATCAGCAGCAGAGAATCCCAGAATGGTTTGGGTTGGAAGGGACCTTAAAGCCCATCTTGGTCTAACCCCCTGCTATGGGCAGGGACACCTTCCACTAGCCCAGGTTGCTCCAAGCCCCGTCCAACCTGGCCTTGGACACTTCCAGGGATGGGGCAGCCACAGTTTCTCTGGGCAACCTGTGCCAGGGCTTCCCCACCCTCACAGGGGATGATTTCTGAAGGATACCTGGGGCAGCCCTACAAGGAGCAGCCAATCACTAGCAGCTTGTAAAATAGGCTAGTACCTACTATTCACCAAATTCAGTATTTGGAAAGCAGCTGTTGAGCACTGATATCCAATACCAAGTAAAATAACATCACAAACAGTTTTACTGGTGATCTGTTGCAGACGCTATAAAATTATATCTTATCTCTGGTGTTTAAAATAAAATTGACTTTAGTCAACTTTTCTCCTGAAATGTACTGGGAATACCAGAAAGCCAATGGAGGAACAAGCTCCCCAAAGATCACTCCTCTCACTCGAGCTTATGCTTAAGCCTGGAAAAGAAAATACAGCCTTTTTTCCCTCAAAAGAAACAGAAGAAAGGAATTCAATGCAGTTCTGCAAACAGCTCACTGAGGACAGTTTCTCTGAAGCTACAAATCTTTTAGAATTATTTAAACAAAAGCGGGATCATATTTTAGTAATTCCTTAAGATCAGAACAAGCCTGCTAGGGCTGGGAGGACCTTTCCACAAAGCCAGCAATCACCACCACGTTTTGAGTTTCTACAGGACACAGAGAACGGAGCTGGAGCTTCCACTGCTTCATATGCCAGAAAAATACATTCCTGCAGCCAATGGACCCAAAAAGCAAGAAATAAAACCATGTTTGTTGTGGCATCAAATCAGATGCCGAAACAACAAAGTTGGTTATTGTACCAATAACCAACTCTGAGCTACACCCACCCCCATCACCCCACATTGCTGCAGCTTCAGGGAGAAAAAGGATGAATTATGGCCAAATGGCACAAGAGGGCTGCCTGCACAGGACACCCTGGCTGCCCCAGCCATGGCAGTGCTGGGAAGATTTGCCCCTCATCTGGAAACACGCTCATGACTTCACTGGAAAAACAGCGCCCAGCGGGATTTGTTAATGAAAATTAAAAAAAAAACTGAAATTCAGCCAGCTGGCCAATTCTAGTAATAACAGCAATTCAGGTTTGGGGGTTTTTCACCCCCCTCCAAATGGTAGTGGAATATTTAAGGAAACAAAAGCTGTTTTCTTGGCAGGAGCCCAGTCTTGCTGCTGGCTGGGGATGGTGGGCGGCACCCAGGCCAGCAGCCGGAGATCTCCAGAGGGGTGCCTGGGGAAAAGGAGTTGGATCCCTCCCATGTCAGCAGCCAATTCCTGGCCTTTTCCATCACCTGCTTCCCCAGACACTCCATTTTCCATATCCCAACTTGCCCCTCAGAAGGCTGTTTTGCTGCTGGAAGGTGCCAAGTTGTGTTTGGCAACCTCCAGTTGTGATGCCGAGTGCCAAAACCGCTGGAAATCCACTGGAGAACAGTGGAGGCAGAATTCGTCTGGTTAATTAGCACAGACTGTCCCCATGGTAGTCTTTTATTCTTATTTAGCTTGCAAGCACCTTCGAGATCAAAGCCAGACCGCAGCTTCCCTTTAATTATTTTCCTGTGAAATCAGAAGGGTTTGGGTCCCCTTTTCCAGCCCATTCCACAGGTAATTTAAGAACACTTGCCTTTGAAACCTTGTGCGTGCAGGAAAGGCAAGCAAGCCCCATGCACATTAGCTGAGGGTAATTTCCATACTGTAAACTTGACAATTATTCTTTTTAGAGAGAATGTGTTTTTTCTTTCTTCCCTCTGATCTGCGCAGTACAAGACATCTCAAATATAAACAGATTACAAAAAACCCCACAACAGCTTTTTCTCCCTCAGATCAAGCATTTGATACTACTCCTGGCAATCCTCAGCATCCTGCTTTCATGGCAGAGAAGCGGATTTTTTTTGAGGATAGCTTCCTTAATTCAAAAATCTTGGAGTTTTTTTTGGTAAAGGACTCAGACTAAAAAAAACTAAATATATATATATACAGTAATATATATATATATATATATGACTGTTTTTCATAAGGGATTCCTTAGTCTAAGTATATATATAAATCCTACCTTAGAAATCCCCGTTTTATACATTCTAGGCATTCAGAAGGAAGCTGGACTGGGTTAAAGCTGTAACACTACAGGCTTCCCTCCCCTAAGATTCAACTACTTGACTCCACAACTGAGAGGGTGAAAACACAGGTTTTACAGTTCCAGGAAACTATATTACTTGGAGGACTTGGCCATGAGCAGAAATATCCAATAAACCTGTGCAGTGCCACATGGACAAATAGTCCTTCGAGCACCAGGCACAGCTGCAGCGAAGCACCAAGCTCCACCTCGGGTATGAGGTATCAAGAAATAACATCTAATATTAATTATTATTCCCAGAACCCTGATGATATACATAACAGTAAAGCTGTTGCTGCTCGAAACATAATATTTTGGCAAACTGAAGTTAAATAACAACAGATGTGTTAATTTTAGCCTCGGTTGTATAATGGCAGCAAAAACAATCGTATGCCTACAGCTGTGGGCTGAGTTCACGAAAGAAGTCACAAAGAGTACATCCAAAAGCAGAGGACTGGGTGTGGTTTTGGATGGTTTTTCTAAATGACACAGTGTCACTTGTAAATTGTCCTCTAGCCCTTGTCCAATGGAAGGGCCTGGGAAATGGTAACTGCAGTCTCCTGGGGCACACGCAGTGGTATGACCTGACAGATGTCAGAACCTGAAGGTGTTCTCCAAGAAGAGAGCTGAGGGACGACACGGGCCAGGCAAAAAGTCAGCCAAGATGTCCTCTGGCAGAGGTGATGCTCCATGGGAGCCATCCTGGCAGCTCCCTGCCTTCCTCCCACCCCACAGCTCCCAGTCAGTGACCTCCAGCTCCACTGATCCAGAAAGCATTGATTGCAGAAGTGTCTGAGGAGCCCGGGCCAGTAGTGGGACTAAGGCTTGTAGGTGGTAAGGACAGAGACAGGGAGTGAGTATCCAATATCTTTGCCCTCTTGCTGTTAGAGGAGCCCCAAGAGACAGCTTGGTAGCCTGTATGAGGGCACAGAGACCACATTTGGGTTTTACCCAGCCTAAGCCCTGCCACACCCTGAGCAGGCTCGGGAACCAGTGTTGGAGGAAAAGATGCCAGCTTCTGCTGAGGCAGGGCAGGTTTCACCATGGATACAGCATTTGCTTTTTATGTTCCAAAACAAGCTACATTATTTTTGTTCGCCATTGTTACACCGGCACACAAGCTTCCCTCCTGCCCTGATGAGGAAGGCATCCTACATCAAGTGAGATCTGCATTCTCCAACCCTCCAGATCCCCTGGTTATGTAAAGCAAAGCCTACTTCCAAGCCTGGCTTCCCATTGGAAACCCAGGGGAGCAGTGTAACTTGTGTCCTCACACCAAGGTCATGCCTCTGCCAGGCCTGGTAAACATCCCCAGGCTCCAACCAGCTCCAGCACGGGCACGAGGCCTCCGTGTGCAGCAGAGCTGAGACTCAGCTCTTGTCAGCTGCAGAAGGGGCACACGTGACATGTGGGAGCACTTCCCCTCAGGAGGTGAACTGGGAAGTCACAATCTGCACAGCAGTCTGTGAAAGGCAGCTCCATAGACAAAGTCTGTCCTTCCAAGCAATGTCTGAAGCACGCTCAGCCCCTGCCACAAAGCAAAAGTACCTCCTTCTCCTCCTCTTCTGCCCAAGGGCTCTTCCACTCTATGTGTCCTCATCTTTCCCACTGTATGCTCTCAGCAGCCCTCCCCAGGACAGAGCCTGACCTTTGAAGGGTCAGTCACAGACAGGCACACAGAGGATGCTCAATGTTGCCCAGCGTGTGCCACTTTTGCAGCTGGAAGATTATTTTTAATACCAAGGCTGAAAGAGGCAACACGCTGCAGTGAACCCAGATTTGTGAACCACACGTGCCACGAGGACTGCAGGATGCCCCCTCTGAGCCAGCTGCTTGGCACTGCCATTTCACAGCACAGAGAATCACAGAATGGGTTGGGTTAGAAGGGACCCTCAAAGACCACCCAGTTCCAACCTCCCTTCCACTAGACCTCCAAGCCTCATCCAGCCCGGTCTTAGGGGAGAAACAACCACAAGAAGTAGTGCTGGAGGACAGCAGGACAACCAGGTGGCTTCTGCTTTATTTTACTCATGAATTCCCATTAGTACCTCTCTTCTATCACCTCCATTCTGCTCCAAACACCCTGGGGGGCAGCAAATCAGGTCAGACCCATTACTAGTCCAGGACACTGAAACTCTGCTTTCACACACATCTTGCTGGCTGCAGAAAATTTCTCATTAAAAAAAAAATAATTGTAAATAACCCCATGTATTTCCTATCTGCATGTCCTGCAGAAAGCAACTTTTTTTGATTTTTTTTTCCATTTAAAGTAACTTGTTCTTATTACATTGCAGATGCACAGTTCTGCTTGAATACAGGGGGTACCACTCACCATCCTTTCTTCCTGCTGCTTGCACGTTTGTCCTTTCTATGGGAGTCTTGCACAATTACAGTGAGCAAAAGGCCAACCAACCTCTGTGTTCAGTAAATTTGGAGGTACCCTCATACTGTTCTTCACCAGGTGTGGAAGTGGGAAATGAAAGGACAAGCAGGAAGGGTTTTGAACTAACACAGGAAACATTTAGATTAGATGTTACAAAGAAATTCTTGACTGTAACGGTGGTGAGGCACTGGCA